TGCACTTTAATGCCCTTTGAAAGTAACGTGTATGTTCCCTTGGAACTGGAATCATGGCGGAATATCATGTGAAGTCCACTTCGCGGGGCACTTAAGACAACGCTTGAATGATGCTGCCTGAACAAGAGACCTCCTTACTGAAGTGAAAGTGTTGGCTGGTGTCACTATCTCGCAGATGCGGCGGCGGATCTCCACCAATTTCGGGGGATCCCTTCAGCTCGAGCCTGACCACGAATTTAACCGCCCATAACTCCCGGACCCCATGGGCTATCGATGCCGGGGTGGTCTCATTCGAGAGGGGGCCTCGAAATGTACACTCGATTCGGCGTTCGAGAGGGTTCCTCGAGTTGATGGGATCCCCCGAATTTGGTGCGGATCCGCTGCGCCGTTACGGAGATACGGCCATTCAAAGTTTCAATGGTATTTCATACACTTAAGCTTTAAAGCGTTTCATCCAGGTTGCCAGTAGCAAACAATGGAGCGCGCTCTGCTGGACAAACTAAGTAATTACACCATTTTTGATGGGATCCCCCGAATTTGGTGCGGATCCGCTGCGCCGTTACGGAGATATGACCGTTCAAAGTTTCAGCGGTATTCCATACACTTAAGCTTTAAAAGTGTTTCATCCAGGTCGCCAGTAGCAAACAATGGAGCATGCTCTGTTGGACAAACTACGTAATTACACCATTTACAAGCATTTTATCTGCGTTTTATGTTCTGTTAAAAAAATGGTCATATCAGTGACATATTCGCCGATACCGATATATCTGCGACAGGCTCATATCGGCCGATAAAATCGGCAAAACGATATATCGGTCGGGCTCTAGTATGAATGATTTCAGATTGCAAAATGTTATCCCTCAGCTCTACACAACTTTAAGGCATGAAGATATTAAGATATTATAAACATCAACATCATGATTTTATGTAAAGCTGCTCTGAAATAGTGTTTATAGCACTATACTAATACATTTGACTTGACATATACTATAGTGTTGTATGTCAGACGCAGTACCTTGTTGAGGCTCCGGGCGGCGCTGTCCTTTCCCCCGGGGGTGAGATTCCTGAGCTGGACATCCAGCAGGTCGATCAGGTGACCCATGGCCTGGACGGTGTAGGTGATGTCACCCGCGTGCATGTGACCCTTGGTCTGTTCGGAAAGCTCACGGGAGATTATGGCTGCGGGTTCACCCGCTCGAATCTACAACACACACACACACACACACACACACACACACACACACACACACACACACACACACAGGGAGAACA